AAGAGCTAATTACGAGGGAAATTTCTTTTGGGTTCTGCTATAGCAGTTTCATTTCAAAGCTATTTATTTATACGTACAGATTTGACCAAAACTAGGCTAATTCGGTCGTCAGATTTGGGGTCCACGTCAGTTTAAATGGAGTTCATTTTTAAAGATGATAAAGAAGAAATATAAGAAACAGTGCTTTTTTGTCCATAAATGTAAATTGTAACAGCAGTAGCGACAATAACGACACCACAATAAATGCTGTGCACACCAATGAGGCTTTAACGCAGTCAACGATATATGGAAACAGATAATTTGAATTAATTACTTTTGATAGGCCTCGGAACAAATATTCAGAAATTTTTTTACCCATTAATATAAGGAGGCTGACACATTGCTGTGGTTGGTTTAAATAGGGTTGAGCTATACTTAAACCTTAATACTGTTTAATTGGAACCCCATACAACCGCCTTCTTCTCCTCCGCTTTCAAGAAATAACTTTGATGCCATCATCTTTGTGTGGACAACAGCTGTTCTAGCGGTTCAGTTCACATCATGCACCATGTCATTATTATATCATTCCTTTCTGTGATACCAAAAGTAATTGCATTTTGGATTCTGCAATAACACCCGGAGGGGAAAGAGCCATGAGGACTTTAGAGATGCAGAATTTTTAAATAAACTTGCTTATATATGAATGAGCGCCAACGTACAAGTGTGAATCACTTTAAGAATGGGCCCTAAGGTTTAAATTTTAAATGAAAGCTTCAGAGTTATGTTATGTTATGGCCAGAAACTTGGCTGCAAACGGCAACAGCTGGATGTGACTTAAACCCTTTCAATTTTCTTTCCCTTGTTTGAGGAGGCATCAAACATTTGAGGCATATCATAATACCCACCGCAAAGTAAATCCTGACGCCACTTAATTAGAGAGTTACCCTTGCTACTTATTTCCTTTCGACCAAAGATGGAAAAGTGCATTCAAACAACGAATTTTGGTTTAAGTTAGAGAAAAGAATGCTGCTTTTAGTTCCTTTTGCTAGGGCACAGAAAGTGGAAAATCTAGTATGTTGCAAATGTACTATTAGGTGGTAAAGGGGAATTAGAAGCACATTAAAACTCTTAAAATCGAATTAGCGTGCAAGGAAATATCACAGAGAAGAAAAGAAGAATGGAAAAAGCTCCTGTCCATGGATCTGGAGTAATATGGTCGTTTGAGTAATCATTGTAGCAACTAGAATTGGGCCAAAAAAATTGAATTTCCCATCCAGACATCAGAACTTAGCTTGAAAAATGTGAGTAAGTGTTTCATGGCGAGAACATTAAAGGTCATTCCAGGACATCGGAATCACAGCGGCACAAGTTGAAATTGGGTGATGGCAATCTTTTTTCACTGCCGATATTGAGGCCGCATTGAACTTGATTTAATGCAGAACGCTTAAAGTTTGTTGCATTTACGCAACAATGCTTAAAATTCGCCTTAGGCAAGAGTATGACTTTGCTAAAATAAATGAATCATAATTAAAACCATTCGAGCAGAAGTCTTAAAGAGATCGTGTAGGCAACAAAAAGGGGAAGAAGTTTTTCGTATATCCAAAGGGGGGAAATCTTACAACCCCACCCCCTTGCGCGCGTAATTTTCGTTGGTTCATTTCTTCCCTAGCGTTGCTCGCTTGCACACATGTGCGCACTCAGTGATTGACATCGCTTCAGACAGTCATGAATCACAGTGTTTGATTGGCTCACCACAATCAGTGCGCGTGTCTACCTACATATGTCCCGGCCTATCACTGCACAATGACCTTGCCACCACCAATGACACCTACCTTAATCACTGATTGGCGAAACAGGTTTTGACTGCAGACGTGCTACCATTGCTGGCACCCACATTGGCCATCACTCGACAATCACACTGCGTGCGTAACAGTTTTAAAGCGCGCATGCAACCGATTGGTTTGCTTCCCCCTCCGTGCATTTGCGTGCAGAAGCAATGGCACATAAGGGCACGCAACCTCCGGACCGGTGTGGTAGCGTTGTAACGAGTTACGTTAGCGTCTCCCTAGTTCCACAACTTGCAAATTATCCCATCCTCTTATCTGCTCCAGCCCTCATCTTCAGTGAAAGTGTAGTGGAACACATCGACAATTAATGACGCGTCAACTTGATTTGGAATTATTCAAACATTAGAAAATTACATCTGTGAAGAGTCGCATACATCGTCACTTCATTCTCTGTAAGTCAGAAATAAGATCAGTCTTTTGCGTCTTTTATTGCGGTAGCATGATGCGCTAATTCACACCACTTCGTGCATTTCCATGCAAACTTTTGAATTGATTAAGATAAGGCCGTATCATTCCGAGCACTCTCAATAGTGTATTGCATATTAGTAAGTAATCGACTCCTGGGGTTATGGCGTTGCTAAAATTTCCACTAAAAATGGAATTTTTTTGTGGCAAGTAGGCGGTAACGCGTTGGCTATGTTGGATAACCATAGGTGAATGCTTCATTCCTAATGCATTCTGAGTAGGCGCAGACCTCGTTTTTCTATCCCAGGTATTTTAATAAACTTCCATTCTTCCCATTGTTTGCAGTTTTAGAGAACCTCAATTGTGCTTTGTCATTGCTTTAAGGGCGAAAAGTTTTACAACATAATGGCTTTTACGACCTCTAGATGGTTCCTCGAAGGGTTATTGCCTCATTACTTGTTTCCAACGGTGCGTAAATCCAATGATTCTCTGCAATTACTAATCGTCCCGTTGTTTAACCGACTGAGAAATTCCAGATGAATTATCCAATGGGCTCCTCAAGCCCTTGGCTATAGCTGAACGTTTAATGAAGGTCGTCTTTGAAGAGACTAACTCAGCCATTTTGTATATATATATATATATCAAATTCGCTAATTTTCGCAAATAAGCTAGGGTTAGCTGCCATAATTCGGTACTGACCGTACCTAAATCTCCAATCAAGGTTTTCTAGCTCCATAACAAATAAAGTTTTGCGCTATGCAAACATTTTGGATTGCTCTTCGATTTCTGAGAGGCAAGACGCTCCATCATGTTTTGTTGAGGAGCGGAAAATAACATTATTTATGTAACGGAACATGCGTTAGACATGCTAACTTCCAAAGTTGAGTCACGTCTTCACTTGACGCATAAAGTTGAGATATTTCCATGGAAGCAAAGTCCTTGTTTCTAACCTCTAACTTTAGAAAGGGTCCTTACCGGAAGATGCGGGTTTGTTTTTTTTAAATCTGACGAGATCGTAGTGTCCCGGGAGTCAGTGAAAAGCTTAATACCCAAGAAACTGTTCTTGACCAGACGTTGCCCTTTGAACAGGCTTTCTTTCCAAATATGAGAATTTGGACGTCCGTGGTCAAGCCGCAGAATGCATGTTGTCTGAGTTCAAATCGTCCTTACTTTTCGTTAGTCATGTAATCATAAATCATCGGGCTCTTACATATTCAAGATTTATTACCCCGGTTACTTAATATTGAGCATTTTGTTCATAAATCCATCAAGGATGTGTTGAAATGATCTGTTTAGAAAGTCCATATCAAGGGATCATTTTGCGGACATTATATGGGGGGTATCGCCTTTTATTTTGTCACTTCGTAAGTTGTCTTTAAACATTGTCATCTGCATTTCAGTGATATAGCTTTAAAGTTTAACAGGAAATACCTGGGAACGGAAGGCTATTAAGGTTCAGTCCATGTCATTTTTTTTTCGAACCATAATTAGCTCATTGATAAGGTAAGATTGCTTTCTGATATTGGGTCTTTTATTTAGACTCCTGTCACTTGACTTAAAATCGTTTTCTCCGGGATAAAATTTACACAGTGAGAAATCTACGCCCAAATTTTCACCTCTACTTTTGATAAGTTAACGAGGCATGGAGAAATTCCGGGTTAAAAAGAGTAGCTGGGTTGAAACATCTTCCGTCAACATCTTATTCACGTTACTACTGACTCTCTGGTCAATTACTTTTACTATGACAAGTGGCTCCCACGTTATCCAGACGTCTTCCTGTTCGATTAGTCATAGGCCTGCAAAAATGTTCGGGTCACCTTCATTGGCTACATTTTTTTTGACAGCCCCAATTCACGCTACACTTTAGCGTCAAATGAAACATGTTGACTCTTCTCAACTCTTTTTTTGAATTATTTGTCCAATCCAACAACCCTCCGTCTGTCTTTCCATCCATCCATCCATGTGCTATTTGAGTAATTCGAATGTGGTAAATCAGGTGCGTGGCACACACCAGACCTAGCCAAGACAAACGCCAGCCTTTTTTCCACACCGCCTCTGTGAGTCACGTTTGCTGTGTGTGATTTTTATGACGGATGGACGAGTAAGTGGGTGAACGTTGGTAACGGCTGTCTAGTTACTTTACTTTTCAATCGTGGGCATGTTTAGACTTATCACACACTAAAGTCTCCTCTTGATTGGCATCCATTCTTCCCTGTCAGTCGTGACACCGTTTATCAGACTTATTGTGTTCCATTTTTAATGCTCGCATTCGGAAGTGTTTCCACGCTTGTAATCGAAAAAATATAGCTCAAATTTCTGATACCCTTGTCTAGTCCTTTAAAAGTTAGGACGACTTGAATAGAGAAATTAGGACTAGTCCTGCAAAATAGAGGCGAGATGACAGTGACAATGACAACAAAGACGCAGGACAGGCACGCAAATCGCATCAATCATGCGTCGGCGACGGTGGCGGCAACCGCTGCATTGGTCTCGTTATTGTCGTCTTAGTCTCGGGCGCGCACACAAAAAAGCCGGTCGACAGCTCTCGTTCGTGTGTATGCCTGCACATTTGACATGTCGGCGTTTTGACAGCTCCCAATGCACACATGTGATTAAGACAGGCGAGCGGGCAGGCAGGCCAATTCCCTTGGTTCCTGATTGGGTACAAGAAGTCTGGATTTGCATTTACACAAAGACTTTCTTCATATTAGTATCCCTTTGCTCTTTTTATAGAGTGATGACACTTTTCCGTGCCGAGGCTGGAGTTCAATGAACGTGTTGTCTTCCACAAACCCGTCTTTAACGTCGGCGTCCACCAAATCGTCGCCACAGCCACAATCAGCATCATCACTACCATCCTCGCCTCCAGAGCAAGCTCAACTACCGAAGTCTCTGTCTGAACCACCAATGACTCTCGGAATGGCTTTCTCCTCGACTGCCAACAAGACGCGACCACTGGACCTCTCTGCCTCGGAAAGGATTGCTACAACCACTTCTGCTGAAGTGACTCCTTTGGATTGCCCAAAATCAATAAAGATGGAGGAGGGAGAAATGGAGAGAGAAAAGAAGACTTCCACAGTAGATGAGAAGTCAGTCGCTGAGATCGAGAAATCGTTAAAAATAGAGAGCAGAGAAGAGGACGTATTACCAGCGGAGAAGTGTTTCAAACCAATAGAATCGTCCAACTCAGAACAACCAAGGTTGGAGGAGGTTTCAGCCCAACTAAAATCGCTGACAGAGTTTTTTAAGACCCTCACCTCTTCGTCCTCAACTCTGGACGCCACAGTAGCTTCCCTCCACGCATTGATAGGAAAGAAGTTTGACAAAGATGCGGGGACTGATGCGGGATCCTTAGAAGCCCTTCACCAACTCGGTTGGCAATTGATAAGTCTTGGAAGAAACGTCTCCCTTACTCCTAATTCTTCCATCTCAACATCTACGGGCGCGTCGTGGGTTCCAGGAGGTAGACAACAACCTCCTCCCCCACCCCCTCCACCCCCATCAGCCCCAATATCACAATCACAACAACCGCCTCCGAGTGTTCAACATCCGCATCCTCCTATGTCAGGGATTTCCATGCGTGGAAATCAGAAGTATAGCGCTTTCTATCAGCATAACAGAAAGCATCAAGCAATGGAGGAGGCGGAGTCACTTCGACAATCCGTCACTACCACCACGCCATCTTTTCATCGATTGGGGTTCCCTTCCAGACGAGTGAATGGTCCCACTCTTCCAGGCCATACGAGGGGACACTTTTCTAATTCTTCATCTGTCCTGGAACCATCATTGAAACCTGCAATAAGTCAACGGTTGCAAAGTGAATTAACTTCTCCACCACGCAGTCGCGAGACTGCCTTCCTTTGTAGCTGTGGCGATGATTTTGAGAGTCTCTACGGCTTCACCCTCCACATGCGCGACACAGGACACAAACCACGAAGTAGCCAGCCAGAACGTGATATTCCGAAGTTGGTTCGAGGCCAGGATATGTGGATCAATAGTGAGACAGAGCAGACGCGGGAAATCCTACGTTGCATGCGGTGTAATCAATCCTTTCGTAGCCTTCCCGAGTTGACAATGCATATGATGAAGACGAGTCATTATTCGGAGATTGTCTACAGCGATGCGGGACGAAATTTACTAGCCAGTCAAACATTTTCCTCTGTAGCAGAAAGGAATAGATCTGGAGGTTCCGTGAATACACCTTCGTGGAGTGCTGGTGGTTTGAAGACGTCGTCCTCGACTTCTGTACCGCTTAAAAGACCTAATCGTGGCTGTGTACCTCCCCAGAACGGATTATCGATGTCTTCCGACACAGTGAAAAATATTGATTCATCTATAACCGAGAAAAAAGTGAATGGGCACCCAGAGACGCCTCATATTGGAACCAAGTCGTCACGCCTAGAGGAGACACAAAAATGCGAAAGACCTGCCAGTTCACATGAGATGCACTTAGTGAAACCTTCTCCAAAACCAGCAGCTTCGCCAGAAGCTCTCTCCTGCCCCTCCGAGCTTCAACGAAGTGCTGCATCCTCTCCACGGAATGAAGGGGAAAGACAAGAGCACAAGTATCTTAGTTCACCAACGTCAAGTAGGGAAAACACGAGTCCCCGAGCTTCCGAAGAAGAATCGTCCCGTCGGAGCTGTACGGATAGTGTTATAAGGCAAATTGAAAGTTTTGTGGAGAAAAGTTTGCCAAAATCCAACGCTTCAAGTCCAGTGGCTTCCAGACCTCAAACATGGCAGCAGAGGCAGCAAATACAGGGTCACGTTAAACCGACGGCATTCGGGCGCTGCAATCTTTCCCCATTAACTGAGACTGATACGAGTAGATCTACTCCGGACAAGTGCGTTCAACGAAAGCGTCGATTTTCCAGCGGATCTTCAAATTCTGTAGCGCCTTCCAGCACCACGGCTGCTAACATACCTACTGAACCGGCATCAGAGAAGCGTCCACTTTTGGCCAACTTTTCTACTGAAGTTGGGGGCTGCGAAAATCCATTGTCGTCGCTACAGAAACTTGTAGAAACCACGCATCAAAGTGGAACAGGATTAAAAAGCCCTATTAGACCATTTAGTCAAACTAGTGAAATTTCCCCTGTCCCTTCAAATCACTCAACTGACATGGAAGGCTCTGGAGGGGCTAAAACTACCCCCTCAGCGGCAGAGACGGTTCAGCAGCAAACCAATATTGCCGCAGCGCTCTCAGCACTACAGAACTTAATGTCAAAGGTGTCAACTTCCTTACCAGCGAGCAATTCCTCCAAACAACCACAAGCTTCACCAAATCTAGACTTTCTTTTGCCCTCAAACGGTGATAGCGACGCAGCCAACTGGATGGGACTCTTGAGTACTTTTCTCACTGCGACTAAGCAATCAGATATAGAGCAAAAGAGATCGGACATGAGTCTACCAATATCTAATCTCCCTTCTCCTTCAAAGATGTTTGAACAGCCTTCCACTGTATTTCCAGCTGGAGGGTTCGATTTCAGCGCTGTAGCTAAAGCCCAATCCCTATCAGTGCATATGAATCCGCCAACGATGACTTCGGCAGGTCCTAGCATTGTAGCGAACATCACCAAAAAAGCGAAATGCCACTTCTGTGGCAAGCCTTTTGCGAATAAAGGTCAAGTTCGTCTTCATATCAGCAAGAATAAGTGTCCGTGTCTGCTCCAACAATCCGCATTGGGCAAACCATCAGGAGGTGCTCCATCGACCAGTAATATGGGTTCACAGGTTCCTGATAAGCATGGACTGCCGTTTCCCTATCCTGGATTCCCACCTGGAGCTGCAGATTTGGGCAGATTTTTCTCGCCACCTCCTCCTCCAACGCATCATCAGCAACAATCAGCCCAGCAGACCACACAACCACCACCGTCTTCACAACCCTCAATATCCCAACAATCGACGCAGCAGAAATCGATTGATTCGAAACCACCTGCAGAAGCTGCTGCTTTAGCTGCACTTTTGCGACATTTTAATGTACCCCAAACCGGTCGTCCCACAGGTCTGAAGCCTGCAGATGTGTTGGCGTCTCTGACAAGACCAACAGAGACAAATCCTGGCAACACTGCTGCTTCTTCGAACCCCCTTTTTTCCATCTTCTTTCCGTCAACAAGTCTTGCTACTCCAGCACCGCCTCCACCTCCACCACCACCACCGCCACCTCCAACGCAGTCCGTGGATACGTCTGGACTAACTCCAGAACAAAAAGCCTTGTTCCTTTTTGCACAGGCCATGGTTTCTCTAGCTGTGGGAGCGTCAAATGCAACAACTAGTGGCAAGCTTGGCGAGGAAATGACTCAGCCGCAACCACCACCACCGCCCCCACCACCGCCACCACCGCCTCCGCCACCACCACCGCCTCCACAACTACCAGCGTACCCGCCATTAACGAGTCTTCTACAGAACTTCAACATCACTCCTACACCCCAACACGAGGTGGCTGTGAATTCAGAAACCTTAGAATCCTACCTGAGCGCAATTAGACACCTTGCTTCGTTGGGCAACGCTGCTGCTTTAGCAGCAGCAGCAACGGCTGGAGTTACCTCTTCAACTGCAGTGGCGGGAACTAACTCAACCACAACGACGACAACGGCAGCATCAATAGTGTCCACAAATTCCTTACCAAGTGGTGAAAGTGTGCCGATTGGTGCTAAGGAGGCGGAGCCACAATAATTGAATTTTCGTGTTCCAGGCGTCAAAATTTCTTTCTTTCCTATCACTTCTAATCCTTAGCTGTTTTCTTCATCCTCCCCACCTCCCCTTCCGAATCTGTTTAAAAGGCTGTAAATAAGTAGTATGCAAATAAGTATGATTGTGTGCCTAAGAGAGAGAACAGTTGGACAAAATACCTGCTATTTGGAATCCCATGTACATATTCATATGGACAGATGATACGCCAGAAGTTACTTCCAACTTCAATTTCCTTGTTTTGCTGGGGTTTAAAAGAGACAGACGCTGAATAATTCTTACTTGGCTAGAAGTCGGAGCGCTTGGATTTGTCAATGCTAAGGTTGATGCATTTACGTCTTAGGTGCCCAATTGATGCATTTTTAATACGCCAGGTTGATGCCTCAGCTAAGTGTGGCTTTCGTTATCTTTGAATTATGTTTTCACGGTGTGTTACTTGGTGACATCACCAAGCCGGTAACATGTAGACCCTCCTCAACATGCATGTACATTTTCATTCTGACGGTCGCTAGACCAGGAACTTCTTGTCCAGCTAAGTTAAGTTAAACATTGAGACGGCATCTTTTTGAATCTTTGGCATTTAGTATAGCGCTTTGGCGTCCTTGATCGTCAGATGGGTTCTGTTGAGTTGGTTTGTCCTCATGCTGAGTCGATTTTGCACTCTCATTATGAGATGTACATGACAGAGTTCTGCTCAACAATCAGTACCTAAAACATCGGCAGCTCTCCATTGTCCCGCGGGAGAAAATTTTCCGCCTCCGTATTGCTTTCTTTTTATGAAGAGATAGTTTGGCAAAAATAAAAAAAATTGGATAAAATCGGCGCCACTCAAAATTCCCTTTAGCCATGCACAACCCCATAATGGCGCGCGGGTGCGTACAGAGGGATCAAAGGTGAATTTGATTGAAGGCCGCTGTCACTTTCCATAGCAAAAACAAACGCGTGCGAAGCATACACACAGACGCGCACACACGCACGCACGCATACAGGCGCGTGCGGAATAGGGCTGCGCGCAAGGGCGTGACGCTAAAGGTAATCGTGCGTCCTGTTGACGGCTCTTTCATGCCCACTTCAAATGTGAGCCTCGTGCGATGAAATTGTTGGGACGAAGCGTGATTGCTCATTTTGCATCTATACTACTTATGGGCTCGAATTTCCTCAATTCTATGTTATATACCACTGTAGGGATGCCATCACGTTCTGTCTTCATTGTATTAGTATTTTACTAAATGAACTTCTTAATTATTTCCACCCAGTAGCCAAATTCTTCCGTAGGATGATGACATTATAACGGTATAGAAGTTGAAATAAGTCCCAAAGATGGTGGATTAATGCATTGAGCTTCGCCATAAAAATACTATTGGTATCGTTTAAAATTTAATTAATAATGCTTAGTTAATAAAATGTACACTAAAATTTACGGCTTTAAGATAAAAGCATCGAAAAATTATTTCGGGTCGGTAATCACGGCAAATATATGTATGCAGGGAGTCCTGTGAAAGGGCGCTGCCAAATGTTCCTTTTTTGAGTCCTTATAATGTGATCCGGCATATGTAAATGAGAGTCTTGTTTTCGGCTAAGTTGCCAAAATAACATAAAAAATAGATTCAGTGAAATCTGCACTGTATTCCTAACATCTGTACTTTTTGGTCGTTGCCCTAAAATAACAGGAACGATGAGGAATACGCCGGACATTTGTTTACTAGCTGCAATGCAAGCATTTTAATTTGTTTGCTTTGATGGGACTGCAGTAGCGAGGGCATACTTTAATGGGGTAAAAATTAACGAAGTCTTCACCACCTTAGCTGCATATACTCCCTTGAGGCTATCCTTGGCATATCTCAACCGTGGCGAATTCACTTTTATTGATGGAACATGAAAGTTACGAGTGGTTTATGAATAAATCGTGGATATTAACAACCTGCTTTTGTATAACCGTGGATTAGAGAAAATTCACATTTCCATTTAATTCTGACTTTTCACTCTGACACACTGCAAATGTCCACATGCATCAGACACTTCGAAATGTCACATCACTTAGGAACTAATCACTTCTGCACTTGTCACAGTAATGCCATTTGTCGTGACACACTTGATAGATATATGCGCACATTTTTGTCCACAGTGATTCTCAATCAAATTGATTACTGCCAAGTTCATCGCTAGCATCACATATGGTACACTCAGAAGTCACAAATAGACAGCTTTTGTTTTGTGACATTTGATGTTCAAGTATTACTTAAATAAGTTTAATTAAAAACAGTGAATCTTTGTCTACAAGAGGCATTGGATCGGCTTTGCTGCCATTTTAGAAGAACAAGACACTGATTTGATCATCAGTAATTACAATTATGCAGGAGCAATGCTAATTGATGAAAAAGGAATTTTCACTTCACAATAAACGAAGTAACGTATAATTTGCATGTCTATGACAAGCACGATATGGCAATCTGGATCATACATCATGCATAGGGAGTACAACAGTTATGCCTTCAGAAGCTACTTCCAGTCAAATGATTGGACAGCAGACACCTTAGTTATGACGTAGAACCAATAGGAGCTAAGGAAACAGGTATGCAAGTTGCCACTCTTTACCAGCCATTTGTAGCATGAAACAACCGAAATTGGTTATATAGGTTTCAAATAGAACGAATCTACTAATACTCAACTCAATAAATTCTTTCGACTTTCAGATAAGGTATGTATTAGTCTTCACCAACCTAAAAAAATTAGGCATGAAACATTCCCAGTTCGGTTTAACTATTGAAATTAGAGTCTTTCACATGAGAGCAAATCTGCTTTCCGTTAACAATGAATGCATTTACTGACAACAACTTTTTGAGGGCTAAAGTAACATTTCTGACGGCAGACCTGCGCAGTCAAGTGGTCAACAAGTCGTCTTCTGAAGGACCGATGCCGTCCTAGACGGGTCTCTTGCTAGCAGCTTTGACATTAGTGACAGTGACAGTAGCAGTGTCAGTGACAGCGGTGGTTTTGACATGAGGTTTACCCGACAACCTGCATGACAAGCCTTCGCGACACATGCAAAGAGTGATATGAATAATTAGGTAATCTGTCCTCGTCTCACCACAACAAGTTGACATTTGTGCTCTGGCGGAGACGAAAAACGTAAACAAAACTGGAATAAGTTTTTTATTGAAAAGTCTGCCTTCGGTTGACTGGTAGTCTCATTACAGTTTTTGGTCCAACAGATGTGGTATGGTACAAAGCTAACTTTAAAAGATGGGCTATGTTCCCAAAAGTAAGAGCTTCTTTAAGTACTTTGATTGCTCAGTGCATAACCTTTTTCAAATGAGGATTTTTTCTGTTAGCACCCAACTAATTTGGCAGGTTAATTTCTGGGCTGGTGGATTGGAACTTTGGCCGCAATGGTGACAGCATTGGCGAACCTACAGAAAAAGTTAAGTAATCTAAAATTACCATCATTTGACATCAATATTGGATAGTATTAGGAATTTTAGGTTGCATGCAAGTATCTGTAGGAGTTGGAGACGAATCTGTGCTAGCATCCTTTTATGCTATGCGAGACCCTGGACCTCCTTGTTGGGTCGAAAATTCTTTGAACTCATTAAGAAGAAAGTATACTTGTTCTTCTGGGAAAATAAATTTGTAGCCATGATAGCCTGACATTTTTACCGAATGTGCCAGTTGAGGAGAACAAAAGAGCTTACAGTCAGTCGAATATGCACGATTTTTTGAGGATGAGGAGAAGCCTTAAAGGTGCTTTGCACTAAGATAACTAGCAAAATTTGAGGCGATTTCGGCACAAAGCAGGCGCTGTTATTTTAAATGAGGCCTTTTAGGAGGTAAATAAAGTTGAGCTTTACAGTAGTAACATCTAAAGTTTACTGCCTCCTGTTAGTGACACTCGTTTGCTCGGCGAATTTCAGTATCAAAGGAATGACGATCTATCAGCGTCACGCATCTACGGTTCAGGTACTGAAAAAGTCTAGTGTTGCAGCATTTGATAGGTAAATGGATAAACTTTTGGAAAGAATTACAAAAATCCGAATAATGCGAATGTTTCGGCTTACCCCACTGACTCCGTGCAACAAATTTTGATCTTTGGTTAAGTAGCATCGCCCTTTAAACGATTTTCTCCAAAATCAGACTAGCCACCTATCCGGATACAAAGACGATGTGGCAGTTAACAGTTCAAAACTCAGTTATTTGCTAGTGATGTATCACAGAGCTAAGGTCTTGTACTTTACCAGCTTATAAAACATCAAAACACATCACCAAACTTCATCGAAAGCATTTAGCAGACACTACTGCTATGTGAAACTTTTCCTAACGCTTATACGTATGATATGTAAAATGGACCTAATAGCCTTCATCCTTACTTCACCAGCAGTTCTTAACTCCACCACTATTTAGCCACTTTGGGCATCCAAATTAGAGCTGCTCAGTGCAATCGCCATTCCTAAGAGCGTAGCAGACCAAAAAGTTCAGCAGAGCAGAAGACCTATCGGTGTTTTGGAGACCTATATGCTTATTGACTTAACAAGTTAAGTGCAAGGCCTCCTTTTCTTCTAGGCAGGAACAGCTGTGATATTCTCCTACAAGACGGAGTTAGAGTGGAAGAAAGGGAGGTTGGCTTGATTAATTCAACTACTGAGTGAAATCGAACCTCATCCATCATGTCTACGATGCGCCTACAGGCATGAAAATGTGTGCTTGTCTGTCTGCCTCTCTGTCGGTATTTTGTTGTTGCAATGCAACGGAACTTTCATCAGTGTGTGTTGTTGTGTGTTCAGACAGTCATTAATCTGATATGGTAAACCATGTTTAGTGAACCTTCAATTGTCCCTTTCTCATCAGCTCTAATTAGTAAAGTTGGTGCTTTCCTCTTCACGTTCTGTAAGATAAATTTTCCGCGTAATTCTTTGCCTTTCAGCAGCTGTCTAACGAACAGTTTTTCGCTGTCAATCTTGTACTCAACATTTCAATTTTTTTTCGGATAA